GCTCGGCTCCGGCGTTTGCTCGGCTTGGGAGAGAGAGAGGGAGAGAAGTGACCGGGGGAAAGAGCCGGAGAAGCGGCCGCAGCGAGGCTCAGCCTTTGCCTTTCCTAGCGGTCTTCCCTGGGAAACAAACAGCCCGGGCTGCGCTCCGCGAAACAGCTGCTTGGTGACGCTTTGGGGAAAGAGCTCCGCTCGCAAACTCTTCCTCGGATGAAAAGGGAGGGAAGGGGGGAGAGAGGGAGGGGGAAGGAAGGAGGGGGGGGTAGGTGGGCGGGGCCCCCCCCCCCGAGCGCTTCTTAAAAGGGCAACGCGGCTACAGGTGGGCCTCCCCACCTGAGATAACAGATGAACAGAGTTGGAAGGGACCTTGGAGGTCATCTAGTCCAGTGATCACCAACCAAGGGTGGTACCGCGAAGAAAAGGTTGGTGGTCCCGCAGAAAAAAAAAATTATTTCCATTTTTTTTGAAATATTGCACTAAATACTACTTATCTTTTTTTTTTAAAGTCATATTTGTGGTCAGCGGGATTTAAAATTATGGATGTAGTGGTCCCTGAGGTCCGAAAGGTCGGGTGACCCCTGGACTAGTCCAACCTGCCTCACTCCCACCCCAGGGGTGGGATTCAAATTTTTTTTTACTATCGGTTCTGTGAGCGTGGCTTGGGTGGGCATGGCAGGGGAAGGATACTGTAACATCTCCAGTCAGAGGTGGGATTTTTTGGCTCTCCGAACTACTCAAAATTTCCGCTACCGGCTCTCGAGAACTGGTCAGAACCTGCTGAATCCCACCTCTGTCCCACGCCCACAAAAGCGGGAGACTTTCCAGTGTACTACACCATCGCTTTTTGTTTTCATTATTGATTTTCTCTTAAATACACTTCTTAGTGCTTAGTGGTGGTGTCTGGGTATTTAATTTGCTTAACAATACAACTTTAATCGCCACTTCAAAAATATCAGCAACCGGTTCTCTGCCCGGTTGCTGGGTGGGCGTGGCCATGGTGGGCGTGGCCTAGTTGGCCTCCTGCACCAGGGCGGTGGGGGGGGCAGTTTCGCGGGGCCCCGGGGGGCCGGGGGGGGGGGGGGGGGGGGGGGGGGGCATTTTCACCCTCCCCGGGGTTCCGGAGGCCCTCTGGAGAAAAGGTGGTATTCAGCAGGTTTGGACCAGTTCTGGAGAACCGGGAGCGGAAATTTTGAGAAATTTGAGAACAGAGCTGGAAAGCAGGTTAGTGGAGTGGGGAGGGAATCGGGATTTTGCAGTAACCTTCCCCTGCCATGTTCACCAAGCCACACCCACCAAGCCAAGCCACGCCCACCAAGCCACGCCCACAAAACTGGTAGTAAAATATTTTGAATCCCACCACTGCTCTGAAGGCCGGAAACGGGCCTGTTTCCGGCCTTCTAGAGTCTCCAGGACGGCCTGTTTCTTTGCCCACCCCGGACCTCTGTGCAGGTCTTGCAGAGGTGGTGAATTCAGCAGGTTCTGACCAGTTCTGGAGAACCGGTAGCGGAAATTTGGAGTAGTTCAGAGAACCGTCCAATCCCACCTCTGACTGGCCCCGCCCCCATCTCTTCTCTGCCTCCCATTGAGTCCCAGCTGATCGGCTGGGTCTTCTTTGGTTGCCCTGCACAGGAGAACGGAGCTGGAAAGCAGGTTAGTGGGGTGGGGAGGGAATGGAGATTTTGCAGTATCCTTCCCCTCCCACGCCCACCAAGCCACGCCCACCAAGCCACGCCCACAGAACCGGTAGTAAAAAAAAATTGAATCCCACCACTGGGGCCTTGCACTTAACTGGCATCCAAACCGGCCGTGTGGGGATTCCTGGGAGGGGGAGGGGTGGTTTGGGCAGAGCCATCCAGGGGTGGGATTTGCCGGTTCGCCAAACTGGTCATAAAATTAGCTACGGGTTCGCCAGTGGTAGCAGCCCACCCCTGTCGCCACCTCTCTTTCCCCACCATTGGTAAAATAAATCCCATGTTTGATAATATTCTACATCCTCTTCCTGTTTCATTTTCACTGTCAGTCTATCCATTTCTGTACAATCTAGTATTTTCATCTCACCATATATCTTCCTTTGTTTCCAATATTGTGTGAAAATAATCCTTGCTGCTGTTAAGACATTTGTATATGAAATACGTGCTTTTCTTATCACAGTTTTTCTGATATTATAGCTAATAAAGAACAATTCAGGTTTAAAAATCTACATGTTTCCCTATCATCTTTTCGAAACCCCTGTGTATCTTTGCCCAAAAAGGAGAAATAGCAAAACATATGGGAAAGGAATGATAAATTAACAATGGTGACTTCTTCTGATAAAGAATAGCTATATAAAATGTTTTATAGATGGCATCTACCACCTGCTAGATTAGCTAAAATGTTTAAAAATAGGTCTAGCAAATGTTGGAAATGTAATAAAAAAACGAGTGGTTTTTTTATCATTTGTGGTGAACTTATGTCAAAGAAACCCTACCCCATTTCTGACAGATGGCAGTCCAGTCTTTTCTTGAAAGCTTCCAGTGATGAAGCTCCCACAACTTCTGAAGGCAACTTCTGTTCCATGGGGTTGATTGCTCTCACTGTCAGAAAGTTTCACAACCAAGGTTATCCTTTTGTATAGATGTAACTGCTGGATCTTGTATGGGTTGGGTTCAAGGGATGGGGGACACCAGCCACAATCTTGTGTGACGTTTGAGTCGCAAACTATTTCGCCACCTAAACTTTATTCCCACAGAAGGCTGTGAAAGGCTAAAGCTTCTTCAAGTGGTCATAAAACATTTGATTGTGGGGGTCCTTGGTGCTCTCTGAGCATGTTGTTTTCTGGAAGACGTTTCATTACCCAACTAGGTAACACCATCAGGGCTAGCAGGGAGAGGGATTTGCAGAGAGTCCAAGGGGGTGGGGGTGGTTGTAGAGGAGGAGGAACAGGAGGAGGAGGAGAAAAGGAAGAGAAGAGGAGGAAGAGGTACTTTCTGAGTTCAGTGATTTTCTTGCAGACATTTCATTACTCAACTAGGAAACATCATCAATGCTGGTGTTGAAATTTGTGATCTTTGTGATTAAAGTTTGGTCTTTACAGTGAGGTCCAGACAAGGCAGTCATAGGTAAACCCTGGTTTGAAATCCACAATGGTTAAACCAAAACTGAACAAAGCAGCCATGTGTGTGAGCTGTGTGAACACTGGGAATGGATTCACTGGTACTGGTAGTGTTATTGTAATTATATACCCAACAATATATGGACTACACAACTCGATCAGGGCAAAACAATAGACACAATCTACATAGACTTCTGTAAAGCCTTTGATTCAGTAGTACACAACAAACTACTCCTAAAACTAAAATCTTATGGTATCTCTGGACACCTGCATAACTGGATAGAAGCATTCCTGTCAAACAGACAACAAATGGTCAAAATTGGGAGCATCCTATCAAATTCTGTACCTGTCAACAGTGGTGTCCTCCAAGGCAGTGTTCTTGGACCAACCCTCTTCATACTCTACACAAATGACCTCTGTGATCATATCAAGAGCAACTGCGTTCTCTTCGCTGATGATGTTAAGCTATTCAGCACCACAGACAATACTGCTAAAAGGACCTTGACTATGTATCAGAATGGTCAAACAAATGGCAACTTCAAATCTCAACAAATAAATGCTCTGTCTTACATATTGGTAAAAAAAATCAGAAAATAAAATACAAGCTGAATAGTCAAGACCTTGATGATCCAAGCTCTGTAAAGGACCTTGGAATACTCATCTCTAATGATCTAAGTGCTAGAGCCCACTGTAACTACATAGCCAAAAAGGAATTAACAGTTGTTAACCTAATCCTACATAGCTTTTTCTCTGGTAATATCACACTACTAACTAGAGCAGGGGTGGGCAAACTTTTTGGCTCGGGGGCCTCATTGACTTTTAAAATTTGACAGATGGGCCAGGTCAGCACAAGATACGATACATATAAAAAACTGCAAAATCTCCGCAAAATCAAGTCACTGCGCCTAATGCGCTACCTGGTGTCGAAATGCCTGTCATTACAAGTCAAAATCAAATGAATGCAATCATTCAATCATTCACATCAAACCTTAATTCTGTACCAATCTTCGGCGGGCCGGATTAAAAAGACCAATGGGCCGGATGTGGCCCGCGGGCCGTAGTTTGCCCACCCCTGAACTAGAGCATACAAAACATTTGCTAGACCAATACTCGAATACAGCTCATCAGTCTGGAACCTACATTACGTATCTGATATTAGCACAGTTGAGAAAGTCCAGAAATATTTCACAGGAAGAAATATCAACCATAACAACACAAGAGCACACAATAGATACAAACTCAAGGTTAACCACACCAAACTTGATTGCAGGAAATACGATTTCAGCAACAGTGTGGTCAATGTCTGGAATACTCTACCTGACTCTGTGGTTTCTTCCCCAAACCCCCAAAACTTTAACCTTAGACTGTCTACTATTGATCTCACCCCTTTCCTAAGAGGTCTGTAGGGGGCGTGCATAAGCGCACC